TCCATTTTTCGATTCATAGAATGTAATAGAATGAGTAAATATCTATGGGAGAGGGTTTTGATATAGATTCTATGGTGGAAACAACCCTAATTTGGATACTTGAGATCATGGGTTTGATTTAGGGTTCATTGAACTGTTAGTAATTTAGGTAATTAGTGATTGTTTATTGATTCCCGTATTATATTGATTAGCGAGAAGAATCTAGAATTGAAGATTCAAGTGCCTTAGGGGATTCAAGCTTGGATTCAAGGTAGGTGATGGTTGTGATTTCATGTTGGTGTGATATATGTTTGTAATTGCTTCATTATAATGCATGTATGTATGCGAGTGTTGCATTATTGATCACCCTAATCATAAATGAAGATAATTGAATAATTGTATGCCATGAATCACCTCTTGTTGTATGATTGTGAGAATATACATTGTGATTGTGAATGTGATTGTGGTTTGTTAAATGGGCGGGTGTCACGATCCGACACACTAACTGGGATCGGTTTCCACGTTCCGACATAAACATGGGATCGACTGCCACGTTCTGGAACAGTAACTTGGATCGGGTACCATGAACCGGTATGCTAACAGTTTGGGATTGGGTTCCATGAGAGGACCATTGAATTGGGTTCTGTGAGAGGACCATTGGATTGTGTTGTGTATCTACTTGTGATGATTACGTTCATATCTAATGATGATTGATATTGGAAGACGGTATGTTGCTCTAAATTGATAGCCAATGGGTATTATTAAGAATGTGGGGTGCTACATTGATCCTAAAAAGATGACTAATATTGTATATGTTCGGTATATGTCTGTTTTATAATGTTGTAGTTACTTGCATGTGTTTCACTTATTGGGATAGCTCGTGATCCTACCAGTACACTATGGTTGTGTACTGATACTCCACTTGATCTTTCTTTGTTGAGTACAAGGCATCTTCAGGTGTCTATTGATAGACCTCAGCTAGGTGACTATTGAGCGTGACCGAATTCAAGGGTGAGCCAGTTCTTTCAGGCTACCATGAATCTTCCTTCTTTAAGTCCACTATTTTTGGACTCAGACTATTTGTTTAAGGTGTTATTTAGTTTCGGGGTTGTACCCCTTGTTTTTAGACTTGCCGTTAGTAGAGTTTTGGTACAATGACTTTCAGGTTCTAGAGGTTGAATTTCCGCATTAGTTTGGTTAGTTGTTTGTTAAAACCTTGGAGTTTATCTGGACACCATTTTTATAGTTATTTAAACCTGCTTCTGTAGCTTTAAATGTGTATTACTTTGGTTAAGTTGATTAGTTGGGCTGTAGGTTTGGTTATCCTACTGGAGGGTTAGTGTGGGTGCCACTCACGATGGTCTGAGTCGTGACAAAGTTGATATCAGAGCATAGGTTCGTTGATCTCATTGTACCAAAGCGAGTCTAGTAGAGTTTTCCGGAAGGGTACGAAGACGTCCGTACTTTTCTTTGAGAGGCTCTAGGACTTTAGAAAAAACTCACTTCTTTCTACTCCTTCGTGCTATGACTTGAATCCAATTGGTATCTAGGTGATACACATTGGTATCTTTTCTCCTTCACTCTATGGTTCGAACTAGAGCAACAAAGTGGTAACACCATCACTAGCAAGAGATGATGTATATAGACTACCAACAATTGAATAAGGTCACCATTCGGAAGAAGTATCCATTGCCTCGGATAGATGACCTTTTTCACCAATTGCAAGGTGCTTCGATTTTCTCTAAGATTGATTTAAGGTCTGGTTACCATCAGTTAAAGATTGAGACTGTTAAAAATTGGGCTTGACCAAGTTCTATGATTGAATTTAGTAGTTTTGTGGGGCTCGCTAGCTACTATTGTCGTTTGTGGTATGAGTTGAGTCCTATTAGTATCTCCTAATTCCAATTGATATCTCAACGAAGTGAACTAGACGCCGTAGTTCTGGCTGAAGGGACACAAACACTCTTAATTGGAACTAAGAAGGTTCCAATTGGTATCTGGCCTTAGGGGTCGTATAAGGCGTAGATGATCAGTATTGGTCGTTTATGGAACGAACTAATTAAAGAATTTGGACTTGTCTTCAAGTTGTAACTGCTTGAGTGTCGTAAATCTTGTTATGATAAGAGGGTCATCACGAGATTAGGTGCAAGGGTCTAGATAAATTATGATGTAGTCCGTAAGCAAGAAATTTGGACGTGTGTTGTGACCAACTGATAACCGTGTGAGAATATGGGTGTATCCTGGGGATATGTGTGTGGTAGTGTTGAAATGATATGAAGGGATTCTAAAGTGAGTACTTCGTTGGGTTGATCGGGGGCTAAACAATGATTGTCCTAGCTAAGGGAATTATTCTAACACTACATGTGTTATAGCTGGAAACCATTAGGGAATTTAGAAAAGAAAGAAACCCAAAAAAAATTGTTGACAGGGGTTTTGTTTCCGTTGAGGCCGATAGGGCGGAATTTTTCCGCCAAGGTGAGGCCTCCAGGGCAGGATTTTTTTCGCCAAAGCGGGACAGGGCGAGACAGAATCTCAGCCCTGTCTCCCTTGTTTTTCCTGGTCACAATTTCAGAACTCAAATTGTACCCGAACTAACCCCCGCGATCCAATTCAGTGTTCATCAATCGAATATAAGTTATAAAGTGTGTAAAATTTTTGGAGAACCTAGGCATATGAGGAGGAAATCAGCGAGGCTGTGGAGGCTGGAGAAATGTAATGCAGGTAGAGGAGAAGTGTAGCCAGGCGAGGAGGTTTCCCATCAAGATGACAGGGATCCGTTTTATGCCTTCCGGGCAAGACTAGTTTGAGGTGTGTGATGCAGTGATCACAAGTACTCTTACTGTTTGTGACCGGATGGCTATTGTTTTGTTTGATCTGGGTTCCACTTATTCGTATTTGTCAGTTCAATTGCCTTGAGATTTGATGTGGTTTGTGATATACTTGATGCCCTCATCTATGTTTCTACCCTAGTTGAAGAGTCAGTCATAGTCTTGTATATAGTGTTTGTCCTGTTGTGTTTATGGATTTTCAGACTTGGGTTGATTTGGTTATGCTGGATATGATTGACTTGATATAATCTTAGGCATGACTTGGTTGTCCCCCTATTATACCGGGCTTAATTGTAATGCTAAGTCGATAACTCTAGAGATCCACGGTAGGGAAAGATTGGAGTGGGAAGGGGTGTACAAGCTTAAGCTAGCTAAGATCATATCCTTCATTCGGGCTAGGAAACTGGTAGGGCAGGGTAGTTCTGAAGGCTGTCTTCGGAATGTCTTTATTTCTAACTTTAAGCTGATGATAACTGGATCTGATGTCTATCTTTGAGAAATGACTAGCACCCTGAAGTTGGTCGAACAAGTCATCAATCCTGGGGATAGGATACTTATTCTTGATTGTGACCTTGTTCAACTGCCTATAATCAATGCACATTTGGAGAGAACCATCTTTCTTCTTTACGAACAACATTGGTGCACCCCATGGCGAAATACTAGGTCTGATGATGAAGCCCTTATCTATAAGGTCTTTCAACTGCTCTTTCAATTCCTTAAGCTCTGCTGGAGCCATTCTGTAAGGAGAAATAGAGATAGGCTAGGTATCTGGAAGAAGATCAATTCCAAAGTAGATTTTCCTTTCGGGAGAAACTCCGGGAAGATCTTCTAGAAACACTTCTGGAAACTCATTCACTACAGGAACTGACTCAAGAGTTAGGGTCTCGAAACTTGAATCCTTAACCTGAACTAGATGATTGAGATAACCCTTAGATACCATCTTTCTGGCCTTAAGGTAAGAAATGAATCGACCCATAGGCACTAAGCTACTACCCTTCCGTTGTAAGATTGGTTCGTTTTGAAACTGAAAACGAACAATCCTATATAGTTCTACAATCGACTGAGGCATAACAGGAATGTAACCGACCCATGCCTAGAATGATATCGAAGTCTACCATTTCTAACTCTACAACATCTGCTGAGGTGACCTTTTGGGAGATTGTGACAGGGCAATTTTTGTATACCCATCTAGCTATAACTAGGTCACCGACTGGAGTAGAGACTGAGAAGGGTTCTGAGAAAGTTTCTGGACTAATACTGAATTTGACCGATATATAAAGAGTTACAAAAGAAAAAGTAACCCCTGGATCTAACAATGCATAAACATCAAGATCAAAGACTCGTACCATACTAGTGACTACATCAGGAGAATCTTCCTGATCTTGGCGAGCCTAAAGACTATATAACCTATTTTGGCGGTGTCCGCCACCTATACTAGATAAGTTACCCTGCTGAGTCGGTCGACCTACTAGCGCTGCTGAAGTTGTAGACGGAGCTCTATTAGCAAGTTTTGGTAGGTTTTGGTACCTGATACACTTCCCTGAGACTTAGAGCCTGAAGCTCTACCTTTCTGATCTTGTCTGAACTTAGAGGATGAAACACTAGCTGATGAAGGGGCTAGGGCTGAAAATTTCTGTTGACCCTGCGAGCGATTTCCACCACCCGACTTCTGTTGAGAATACTCATAGTTCTCAGTCCTAGCCTTCTAATTCTCCTTGGTCTGTTCCCTAAGCTTATCACCCTCAACCTGTTGAGCATGAGTCACGAGCCTAGAGCTTTTCATATCTCCCAGCAACATAGCATTTCTGCACTCTCTCTTCACCAAGTCTGACACTCCATAAAAAACTTATTCATCTGGGCCATGAAATCAACAGCCATGTGAGGAGCATACCTGAAGAGTTGGGTAAACTTAAGTCCATACTCCTCAACTGTCATGTTACCTTGCCTCAAGTTCATAAATTCCTGAGCTTTTGCCTCCCTTAGCTCTCTTGGAAAAAACATGTCCAAAAAGGTCTTACTAAAGAAATCCCAAGTGATAGGAGCTGTATCTATACCTCTTTTCTCCTTCCATTGAGTATACCAGATATTAGCTACATCCTTAAGCTGGTAAGATGCCAACTCAACCCGATCATTTCCAGTTACCTGCATCACTTCAAAGATCTTCTTGACCTCATCAATCAAGTTTTGTGGATCTTATCCAAGTTGCGACCCTAAGAACTCTGACGGATTAATCCTAAAAATATCCCGAACGCTAGCTGCAGCGGACCCAATATTAACATTTTCCTGAACTGGAACCCGCTGGTTATTCTGGTTGGCCACACTCTCAGCCAACATCTTAACGTCGTTCCTAAATTCTGCATTCAAAATTTCCTGATCTGGGACTTGAGGAGCTGCGTTTGCATTCCTGGCATTCACATTCCTAGCGTTATCTCTATGAGGAGGCGTGATCTGAAACGCAAAACGATGAGTCAGAATGAGGAATTAGATCATACCTCATGCAAGATAAGAGTAACAAGGAAGGTGAAGTTTTCCTACAACACTTTGTAGCCTCCCTCTCATTAGATGTGGTGCGCACTACACACCCATGAAAAGGACTCTACTGTAACATCTCACAACTAGAAAGAACTAGAAGGAAGTTTAAAAATGGAAATAGTTATTTTTGGAAAGTATAAGGAAATATGGAAAATTTTAAGTAAGTTAAAGTGAGTCTTTGGTAAACTTCAAACGACCATAACTCCTAGCTCAGGATGAGTTAGGTGTAGTTCCAGATATGGTTGGAAATCTCTTGGAATTATCTTTCCAAGTCCTCCAAGTTTGTGCCATTCCGAGTTCGTATGAGTGAGTTATCCCTTTTTGAAGTTGGGTTGTTCGAATAAAGAAATGCCCAATCCGGATATTTGAAGGGTAGTTTGGTCTTTTCCTTACCCAATTAATTAAATCCATTTTTAATAAAATAGTTGGGGTCAAAACTGAGTTAGTTCAGTTTACACTTTTGAGAAATAGTGTTAGGGCTTTTGGGGAAAGAACGCAAGAGAAAGGAGAAGAGGAAAAGCAAGACTCGCCAAAAACGATCGATTTTGATTGCGGATTCGCCAAGGAATTGACCCTACAAGGTATGTGACTCTCTCATAGCGTTTGGTTCATTCACCCACGCACCAAACATGTTTAGTTCAGCAAAATTCGTCCTCGTTCATTTCAAGTTTTCATAAGTCTTTTACAAACGTTTAAACTTTGTTTTAAGACTTAAGTTTTGAAGTTGAGTAAAGAGTAAGAGCAAAGTTCATTTTCTTTAAAATGATATATGGGAACTAAGTATTTCCAAGAGTAAATGTTTTCACATTTAAGATGAGAGGAAACTGAGATTTCCAAAAGAATTTTGAACAACAAAAGGGAACATTGATTCCAAGAGAGCTTTTTTTAAGCGGTGATTTGGGGCTGGAAAACGAAGAAGAAATTTCGTCTGACGAAATTAGGGGGTGGCCGCGCGTCTCGCGCCTAGTGCCCAGTTTTGAAAATTCTGCTCCGCGTTGCAGAGCTGACACGACCTTTTCTTCCTCAAAAGACGTTTTCAGAACCAAAATTTAATTATGCCTCCGCGTTGCGGACCCACTTTCAAATCTTGATTTTCGATTTTTTCTCATGTTTAGCTATCTAAAATCATTACTAAACAACATGAGATCTTTCCAAACACCAATCATAATCCTTGAATCCATAATTCAAATCAAGGATCAGTTAAGAGTCAAGTCAAGAGCAGTTAAGATCAGGTCAAGAGAAGTCAAGAGTCAAGTAAGAGAAGTTCATTTCAAGTTTTCATAAGTCTTTTACAAACGTTTTAAACTTTGTTTTTAAGACTTAAGTTTTGAAGTTGAGTAAAGAGTAAGAGCAAAGTTCATTTTCTTTAAAATGATATATGGGAACTAAGTATTCCGAAGAGTAAATTTTTTCACATTTAAGATGAGAGGAAACTGAGATTTCCAAAAAGAATTTTGAACAACAAAAAGGGAACATTGATTCCAAGAGAGCTTTTTTTTAAGTCCAAGTTTGAGCAATTATCTCAAATCAGAGAAGAAGTTGTTTTAAAAACATATGAGCTAAGTATATTTTGGGAGTAGTATTGAGAACCGGTATGGGGACGCGAGTTCATTTTAACTCAAGCCCCCATAAACCATGTAGCCATCATGGGTAGAAAAAGGATCATACTTTTTAGATGATTCCTTAATGCTTTTTAGCATAGACTAGTGGATCCACTTAGTAGTTTAGGTTCTATACCGATGGCAAGGTATAGGATGGTCCTTGGCAACGTGAGGTAAAACGTTGTACCATCACTTAGGCTCATAGTGATGGTTGTCGGTTAGAAACTCTCTCACAGAAGTTATATTACTTTCCAAATGAGTAAAGTTAAGTTTGTTATTGCTTTATCTTTAACGAACTAAGATTGTTTTCAGTCATTTTATAAGCTTTATATATATATATATATATATATAGTGCATGTGTTTTATTGCTTTATATTGAGTTGAGTATCCATGAGTTGAGAAGAGCTATGTAGGTGTTTCTTCAATAATCTCTTTTGAGCCTATGTTTGTTAGCATTCCAACTCGCATACTCGTACATTCAATGTACTGATGCCAGTTGGCCTGCATCTTATTATGATGCAGACGCAGGTAACCAGGATCAACATCCAGCGCCTCATTGATCCAACTTGAGCATTTAGAGTCTGTTGGTGAGCCTCCTTGCATTCTAAAATACTCCTTTATTTACTTTCTAGTCTTTCAAATGTTAGGATGATCGGGGGTCCTGTCCCGACATTCCTCTTGTTTTGGAGGCTTCATAAACAGATAGTAGTTCAGTAGTCTTTGCATTATCATTCTTATGTTAAAGACTTGGGTTGCCACTTTTGGCCAAGTTGAATGTTTAATCTTTAAAACATTCTCAGTTATTTTATTATTCAGTTAAGTTAAGTTCATTGATCATTGTAGATATGAATATTGTCTTCCGCTGAGTTAAGTAAGCCAGGCCAAAGGTTCACTTGGGGCCAACAATGGTGTTCGAGTGGCAGTTCCGCCCAGGGTGTAGGCTCGGGGAGTGACATCTACGTAGTGCGGCTTTACAAACATCATATGACACTTAAACCTAGGGCTCTGATACCAAGTTTGTCACGCCTCGAGCTACCCCCAAGACGAGGACACGGGACCTAAAATCACGAGTGACCCAAGCTAAACCTGCTGGCATGACATAAGCATTCTATGCTAACAAAACTGATGTGGAAACTTAAATATCATGAAAATGAAAGTGACAGGGAATACCCATTCTAACACTGAATATATTAAATCTGAGAGTTTAATACAAGGGAATTATCAAACCCAAATATTAAGCTGAATCTAGTTATGTCTGAAAATAAGCCTCTAAACTGACTTGAAGTGTTGGGAATGCCCCAGCTAAATCTAGAAAAAACTGAAAACTAAAGACTAAAATGAAGAACTAACATGTCAACTGTCCTCAAGGAATGAGGACTCACCACTGATGCTGCTCAACTGAAGATCGGGAACCGATCTATGCGTGATCTGACTGCTGAGGGCCTGAACCTACATCACGAGAAGATGTCACGCAGAGTATGCGTGCGTCAGTACTTGAAATGTACCGAGCATGTAGGATAGAATAAAGATGAAATAACCATATAACTGAATAAGCAATAAAGCAAGAGCATAAACTGAACATGATATAGATACTGAATACTAAGCTAGCTAAATACAATGACCAATTTATAACATGCTGAGACTGAATACTGACTGTACTAAAATGTGGTCAATGCAATGGAGTCTGACTGAACTGTAGGAGCTACTAATAATCAATAATAAAACCACATGAGCTAAATTTTGAGTTCGATGTATATGCCTCATCGAGAGGACCCAATATACCTTGCCAGAAGTATAGAGGCATGCTGGCGTGATCACTAAAATCATGCCAATAGAGGGGACTTACAACCTACATGGCGTGTAGTTCTGGGACTATTTAGGTGACTGACCCTAGTCCAACTCGGTATTAGATAGTCCCAATAGATTAAATGATCAACACATTATGACTAAATTTTTGTATTATACTGGATAGCTCAAACTGACATGCAAATTGAGAATACGCAATAATATACTGATAATGACACATTCAAAAACTGAGGCATGTATATCTTAAATAACTGAAATATCTGACCTAGCATGTGTAATTCAACAACTAAAGAAATACATAGCTAGGGTTCTGAAATTCATGCAAGAAATAAAGTAATAACATGATAATCTAATTTGGAACATGTAAATAACTAATTCATAATAATTTCCTGAAATTTTAGAAACCCTAGGTCTAGATAATATTAAGGGAATCAAGAATCTAACTGAATTCTAGGGACCTAATGGGCGAAAGGAACCCACTAGTGAAATCCCACATACCTGGTGATTAATTCCACATAGAAATCTTTCAATTTAGAGCTAGAACTGATGGAACCTTGTTGCGTTCTTGAACTAGGGTTGCTCGCCTATTTCTCCTCTTTCGCTTCTAATTTTCTAAGTTTTGATGTATGATTTTGACATAGGTAAGTTCTAGTTATGTTTCTAGGCTTAAACTAACCAAAATCACGTAGTTTAAAGGTTAAACGACGTAATTTAGGTGTTCAACGAATAGGGCAAAGGACTGAAATAACCCTACTTAAAATCTGACGGGGCTGACCACGGCCACTCTCAAGGACCGTGAAAGGGACCACAGTCCGTGAAGTGGGTCGTGGTCTTCACTTGGTCTGGTGGCTATTGGTTCTAGGGACCTTGTCTACGAGCCCTACCACAATTCATTTGGAGGACCACGGATTATGAAAGTCCTCGTAGTCCTCACTTGGGCTGAGGTCTGGTGGTTCAAGATTTGGGGTCCACTGGCTAGGCATCTACGGACACTTCCACGGACCGTGTGAAGGACCACAGACCATGATGGTCCCCGTGGTCCTCACTTAGGTGTGGGGGTCTAAGGGCTAGGCTAGGGGGAGTTACTGCCTAACTCTTCACGGACACCACCATGGTCCGTTGTCAAGACCACGGCTCGTGAAGAGTCTTGTGGTCTGATGTCTGGGATTGGTGGAGTCCAACTCCCCACCATGGGCAGGTTAACGGATCGTGGACCCTATCACGGTCCGTGAACCCTGCCGTGGTTCACTGCTTCAGATAATTTTTCTGTAATTTTTTTCTAGGTCTGCTTTTCGGGTTGTTACAACAAAGGTAGCTCGGGCCTCCATAAAGGGTGGCTCTTTACACAACGGAGGTTCTATGAGTTTCGAAGCCCACCGACGAAAAATGGTAATTTTATAATTGATCTTCCTTACTTTTAGTGAAATGTTATTGAACATTATCTAACTCTTACTTATTAATTTTTCAGACAAAGTTAAAAGATGAAGAGGTGTCTGTTGTTGAATTATT